TTACTCCAATTTTTCAGAGAGGTGATGCAGAAGCCGAGTCGAGCAGGTCTCCAGATGATTTGCTCGTAAGTTCCTCTCACTAACGATTTTCAACTGTTTTGCTGTTTATTTTACGAATATATTGAGTTGAGAGACAGCTGTAAGAGCCTCTAAGAGTCCACGGAAGCGCCCATTTGTGACGTCTTAGCAATTGGGCGGATCTGTTGACAGGAATGATTTCCTACACAAATCGATCTGAGGGTTCGATGTTCTGACCGGATGCAGGGTCAACTGTGCGTTCGCACTACTCGAGCGAGGAGGTTGCATTTACGATTTTGGGAAGGGGGTGGGAACAGCCGATCTGGGAAGAAAAAGTGGGTGGAGTTGGGTGAGTCGTCTGGTCTTGGATTCAAATACTATAGAAAAGCCATGATAGTGAGGGTGGTGATCGGGTAGGAAGGAGGGGTATCGTATTGGGGGAGCTTTGTAAGAGTGATAGTGGTGGTGGGGGGAATGTCGCATTGGCACCCCCCCCCCTATGGGGAGGGGTCGCAAAATTTTTGGAAAAGTGCGAACGCGACGGTTGACCCTGACCGGATGTATTTGATGCTAATCGAATGGATTTATCAAACTAGGAATTATTTGAAGATTTTTCTGAATTCCGCATCCTTTTTCGGCAGATAAAATCTCCAAAAGCGTGATGTATAAACGGATCGGTTATCACAAAGTGTAGGATACATGTTCTAACGTCGCGGTGATGTAATTACCCGCTTTTTATTCCTAATTTAGGCAGGTGGAAGCGTGGGAAAGCTATATGCCGCTGAAAGTTAGAGAGAAAGCGCAGAGGGCGGTGGCTCAGATTCTAGCGGATGGTACGTTGGCCGCAGAGGAAGATATGCTTCGCTTGTATAGGATAATGGTATGCCTTAGTTCTCCTTTGTTGTTGCAGTTGTTCTATTCTTTCTTCAGGCGAAACATAGCAGACGAATGGGTGCGTCGAAGGTTTTTGAGAAAGTTGAGGAACAAGGGCGTTTCATCTGCTCTCTCAAATTTCATATAATGTGGGCAGAAACCTACGCACAGAGCGGTAACCTGGATCGATTCACGCATGTGCTAAATTTGGCCAGAAGTCGACTACCGGAGCTTTCTCCGATAGAGCTAGAAGCAGGCTTCAGGTACTCTTGTGTATACATTCAGTCTTCCTCAATAGCACAAACATTACAGGGACCTTGCTGACCAGTACTTCCCCAATAGCGATATATTCAACGACGACGAGGAAACTATGGCTGTGTTCAAAATACAGAAAGTTGGCGATCCTAAGACGAAACGAAGTGCGAGATTCAGCTTGTTTCGAACATTCCGACGAACGTTCAAATGTTTTCTTACAGATCGACGTCGATCATCTTTAGCAGCTTTTGAGGCGCATGCTAAGGATAACCTCAAAGCAGCCCATGGTCCTGCAAACCCAACTTTCGGCCAAAATAGTTAGTCGCTTCAGTGCTTCTGTTAGCCTCGTGCCAAACAATGAGACGATATTGCATTTTCTAGCACGTACAAAACTACGGTTCGAACTAGTGGATCGTCCCGAAGCTGGCTATCTCGCTCCCTCAATTGAAGAACTGAGAGCAGCGATGATTGCAGACCAACAAATGGAAGAGAATGACGATCTTCTCGTTGTCCCCATGGATATCACTATGAATTGCACAGTGAGTTTTAATTGTTGTGAGAGTTTTTCTCGTTTTACTGCATTTTTCTGGAATTGAATTGTTTTTAATTGGTTAACTTTGACCTTTTCCAGGAGCCAGCCGCCGCGTCTCATCACCTAGCAGGTGTGCCTGAATTGAAAGAGGTGCGACAATTTTTCAGATTTTGGTCTACATAATAGCAGAGAATTAAGTATAATTTTTTATATTCTCATAAAAAGTTCGGTATTTAAGTTGGGTAAACGTAATCGTATCTTGGAGACCGTAGAGGAGGTCGATTCTGATTTTTCAAACGAAGACAAACGGCGTCGTGTATTCTCACCTGCAGCGCCCGTGCGAGAAAGCGTCTTAGCACGACAACAGAAGCGTAGGCTTACATTTGTAGGATTGTAAGATGTCGGTCAGACTCTGCGATTGCATCAGCGGCGCCGTGTGTATCGGTCGTCGGCGGGGTAAATCTCCCGTCGCTCGCACTTTGGAGCGATGCCAATCGCTCTAGGCAGAGCGACTGCATCGCGCGATGCAATCGCAGAGTATGACCGACATCTAACTTCTCCACTATTGCAATGCTATTGCTGATCCGCTCTTCAGAGGCTGCACAGCCCTCGAAGTCGTCTACTCAGCCCTCATCGTCGGCAACGTTTATTACGGGCTCTTCTTTCACTGAGAAGGCATACAATGACATGAAAGCAATGTTATCCGATACTGTAGATATCAACAAAGGTCAATTATAGAATTATATTCTTCTGTAATCCTTAAACTTAATGCTAAATCTGTTAAGTTGGCGGATTGCCTGGAATAACAGATGAAACGACTCTGCCAGTTGCTGCTCCAGCTATTGAAGCTTTCGAAGTGAGATACAACTCTATTGTTTTGACAGCAATTCAACAAATGAACATGTCTGGGATGTTCAGGTTTTCATTGACAAGGATGAATCTCAACGCCCGTCCAGCCTGAAGCAAAATGAAAAGTACGTCTCGCTTTTCGTGTTTTAGCATGCCTCTGATAACTTTACCAGTCATGTCCAAATTTTCCTTGCAATGCTTTATAGATAGAACTTTGAAAACCAGATTCAGTGGATGTAATTTCACAAAGTTTGTGATCATTTAAGCAACGATTACAATCCCTGATAGTACAAACTTCATTTCCATAGCCTTTTCTTCTTGCAACAGTCTCCATTAAATGTCGGGCTTGCCTCCTGATCCTTCTTGACTCTCCTGTGATTCCTTTGGAAATCAAAACTTTTTTGGTTTGCAGATCCCGCAGTTCGTCTTTTTTGTTTTCCTACCCCTCTTTGTGCCGTTATATTCTCCTAGATCCCGAACAGGATCCGTCTTCTTTATATTAACATGCAGCCTTTCAGCAAACATCGGAAGCTTATGATATTGCTGATTTTTAGCTTGTCAGCCCATCCTGTCACCCATTCTCGTCCCCAAGGAGAACGAGCACCTCTTCAGCAGATCCCAGTGCAAGTTGCTGGTGGAGACTCTGAAAAACTGACTGATATTAAGGTGAACCTCTTGTGCTTCTTAAATCGCCATCAAGTATCTTATTTCAACTTTCAGAGAAAGGGTGTCCTTACCAATGTGCGCGAGGAGGAGGTGTTTAAGCCTCAAAAATTCTTGCAAATTGGTTAGTTCTGCTACGCTCCATCTTATATTAGATTAGTGTTCACGCATATCTTTAATTTACAGAAGACGAGGAGACTGTGGCTGGAGCGAAGTTTTCTTGCTTGGGCATTGATAAGAAACCAGATCGTGGAATTGTAACATCGACCCCAGCTTACCAAATGCACCATCCTCCTACTCACGAAGGTTTTTTCAGCAGACTCACTTTCAGTTCAGCGTAACTAGTTGACAGCATTTTCAGATTTCTTCGCTCCT